TTTTTAAAAACCACGATAATTTTCCTCGGAAATTATCGAGATGAATCAGTTATCTTCGGTAATCTTACTAGTTATTGCTATAGCAATAAATGAAAGAACATATATGTTCTTTCATATCGAGACAAAATACGGGAAAATTAATCTCCTCATTATCGGGATAAAAATTTAATCGCGATACTTTTAGGTTCTTGTCGAGATGACCCTTTTATCACGATAATACTCGATAAAAATCTATTGGAGTTTATCGATACTTTTGCTTTTGGAGATAAAGATCACACATACAACGATAGTACTAAAAAAAATCTAATTTTTCGATTCGCAAGCGATCCAATTGTTACAGTGCGAGGAGGACAGACTAATGCTCTAAAAGGCTGATGATCTATTAGTTTCTTGACAGATTAGAAGCTTTCTCTTATATCCTGCGCATGTATTGCCAGATCTCTGTAATTCGAATTGTTGGCGTTTACGTCTTGTTTGTATGTAGTTCTGATACCAGAAAAAAAATATTCTTTGACACAACCGTCATTACATGACATATCTGCTTTATTTGTGTGTATGCTCGTGTCTAGATCTTTGTTAATCCACTATACAATACATGTAATATACGTCATTTTCATCTTTTCTGTATACTGTTGAGCATTTTTATAGCTGTTCTCAAGAATATGAACGAAGGTAAAACGAAGGCTTTTTGAAAAGATGAGAGATTTTTCCCTGTGCGATCTCAGTCGTTCACTGTGAATCATATGCGCAGTGGAAAGGAAATGGTTAGCACTACTCCCTTTTGATAATATTCATCGAAAACTGAATTTAAGTCCGTGATGTTAAATGACAGTGATAATGACTAAAAGTTGCTTAATAACTGTGACTACGTCACACCATGAAATTAAGTTTGACGTAAAAAGTAAACAATAAAACAGAAGGAAAAAAGAGAAGAAAATGGCTCATGATTACTGATACTACAACTGCAGATGTTTACGCAAGCCACGTTTGAAAGCTCGAATCGAGAATTCCGAGAGTACCTCTCTAGGCAATACATTCCACTTGGACATTGTTTTAGGTAGCAGAGAGGAAGTTGCGTTCTTTCGTTTGAATTTTGGTACCTCCCAAGCACAACGATTTGAAAAACGTTCAGATGTACGAGCAGTTAGAGGTTTTACAAGAGAGAAAGCAGATAGTGCAGTACGTCCTATAATCATTTTGTGGAAAAAGACGAATCTAAAATATTTTCGTCTAGTTTCTAAAGGCATGGATTTAAGTGATCAGTAAAATAGATGGTATGATCAGTAAGAAAACATATTATAAAATCAGTTGATTGAATGAATGATCAGTAATATACTGAAGTACCAGTAAACTATTTAAATGATCAGTTGTTAAATGAAAAGGTTATGTAATAAAGTTTTATATAAGTAAATAAAATAGAATAACAGTCAATTAAATAAAAGAATAAGTAAAGAAGCCAAAAAGTACGACAAAATGATTCACTTCTGCTTTGTTGTCCAGGTATTTTTCCGGGAATCTTCCTGTCTTTTTCTAGTGGGAATTTTCGCTGTCTTTCCATGTATATTTCCGCAACTAACTATACTATATATAGCAGTCGATTTCTTGTAATAAACCGTCAGTGAGATGATCACATTCATCTATGGTTATTAATCAGTGAATCGAATAGAACAACCTAACAAAGTGTTAACAAGTAAAAAAGATGGATGTAGTCCAAGTTGCTGAATATGTAAGCGATTCAGATGAAGAAGTTCCAGAAGAAAATAATGAGAAACGTCAAAAGAAAAAAAAAGGACAACCTTCAACCAGTTCAAAAAGACTTTTGATATCTGGTGCTTAGAAGCTAAAAATGATTCAGATTGGAAAACATCGATATGCACCTGCCCAGCTTTCCTCAAAAACTACATATGCAAGCATATCGTCGGAATGGGGATTCGATTAAAGCTTTGGAAACCACCACCTGCAGCAAAGACTGTGCCGATTGGTCAAAAGAGGAAGAGGGGACGACCACCAAAAGGGAAACGTGCTTTGCTAATGCCATAATTTTTTTCTCATTTTAATCTTTTTTCTCTCACTCTTTATTATACTTTATAAATAATTTTCATCTTTTCTACCGGTAGAATCTGTCTTATTTACTTACCAAATTCTGTTTTTTTACTGGTAAAAATGATAATTCTTTACTGTTATTCTCTATATTAAACTGATCATGTTCTCATTATTTATTGGTAATCTTAGTACTGATCATTGAACAACTTAACTGATCATTTATAAACTTTTTTACTGATAATTTCATCTATTTTGCAAATCAAATATTTTGTTGCGGTTTCTAAATCTGGTAGCTTCAGTTGTTAAATAAGAAAAGAACTATTAGAGTGATAGTTGTTAGTGATTATACGTGCATTGAATAGATGTTAATAAGTGAAGATGTGTCTTATAATCGTTATCAAAAACAATCGAGCAATAGTCCATCACAGGAAGAATACATGTTTTGTATATATGAAGTCTTATAAATTCTGGTGCATGTTTAAAAGTTCGATTTAGCGCACCTAACATTTGCCTACACCTTTTACTAGTTTCTTCCAAGTGATGTTTCCAAGTGAGATCTCAAGAAAGGTGTATTCCTAGTAACTTAATGTTTTTATCAAGTGAAAGCGCTTTTCCTGATAGATAGATTGAGGGATAATTTTCTGGTGGTTTAGAATTTGAAAACTGCATATAAAAACATCTCTCTATGTTTAATTCAATATCATTTTGTACACAGCAATCTGACATAATATCAAGGAATTTTTGGACTACTAAAAAGAGTAAGTGTAGTGTGAAGAGCAAAATTTCCGGATCAGGCCCGCATCTTTAGAGAGCTTTTTGCACAGCAAACGACAGGTTAAGAAAGGGTCTTGAAAATGCGAAGCTTCCCATAAACACGTCTTTTCCTTCTAAGGTACTCTTCTAAACGGATTTCTTCACAGGCGAAGTTGGTAAAAGATTTCGTGGACTGTTTTAACCCCAGAAAAGCAAATTCCATAACTTCCTTCTGTTTAGTCTAAAAATGAAACAAATATTAAAAACATAGCGGCTCTGGACTTTTTATCACCTCATTTGAGTTAGTAAACTTGCTTACCACAAACAGATGCTTTTTGTCAGAAAAGACTTTTGCACTTTCTCGTTATGCTATCGCGAAATCGAAACTTTAGATTTATACAGCATATTGGAATTATACAAGAGTGTAGAACTGCTTTAATTTTGTTATTGATGAAGAAAGCTTCCGATCGGAAGCATGACTTCTCATTTTCATGTGATCTTTGATTGTGGAAAAGAAAATTAAAGCAATGTAAAGAATATTTTTTTCAAATGTTTGCTTTCTTCTGTCAATTTATGAATAATCTTCAGCCTTGAAATTAAAATTAAAAAAAAATTGCAAGGTTTCTCATGAAAAAAGATGATTAATGAAACTTTCGATTTTGAAATAAAATATCGAAAATAAAAAATTTCGATGATTCTGTCCACAAAAAAGTTGATTAATGATGACAGAGAAATGCTTTTTTTCCAATCTGTATGAATAATCTTTAGTTTTGATTACAGAAGCATAGATTAACAATAACAAAAATCGAATTATTTTTCGTTCTTTTCTAAGCATATTTCGAATGAGGTTTTACTGCGTGTGATAAGGGTAGCAGAAGAAGATTTCAGCTCCGAGGTAAACTTTGATCTGACTAACCTTGATCTCTGTATGATTCTGATCTGTCTTGAATATATTTCTTCTCGTTTCTAAGCTGCTGCTACCGTTAGCAAACCACTAAAAACTTGTGCTTGTAGATTTTTAGTCGGAATTTCTTAATTAAACTTCATTTTCTGCTGCAAAATAAGACAATGGACTCAGGAAGATTGCATCATCCTTTTCTCCCTACAGCGATGATTATGTCGCCAATGCGAAGAATACAGTATGATTACAGCAGTGTATCAGAAGAATCGGAATCATCATCGGAACAGCCAGACGAAGTTAAAGATAGCACAGTCGAAGTAAGAGAAGCATTTCAGTTTTCAACAGAGAAGTTGGCAGTTGCAAAATAGTGCATATTCTGATATTTTCTTCTCTCTGTCTAGGACACACTTGAACACTGCCAGTGGCGTGAATGTAGAACAGAAAGAGGCCGGGCTTATTACTACAACATCGACACAAATGAATCACGCTGGCTAAAGCCAAGCGAATATAAAGATTTGGAAAGACAATTAGTTGTTCGGCAGACGCGAGCTAAATCGCAGCCGTAAGTACTAAAGTAGAAGCTAATCCTTGTCTCTACCTCGCTTGAGGGTAGAATATATAAACAATTTTAACTATAAAACATTCACTCTTAGCAAAGACCTTGAAAAATCCACGCTGAACTCATTCGATTTTCTCTGTTAAGACCTTCAATACAGAATAAATCTGCTCCTACTGCAATAACTACCCGACGAAAACTTGCATTGTTCATCGCAAACAACAATTACAGTGAATCGAAACTCTATAACTGTGTCAACGATGCTAAAGCGCTGAGCGCTGTCTTGAGAGGCAAACTCGGCTTCGATGTTACAACAAAATTTGATTTGACTACGATGGGGATGAAAGGGGCTTTGACGAGCTTCAGAGAAAAAATTAGGGATGGAGACCTAGTCCTGTTTCACTTTTCAGGGCACGGCTATCAAGTAAGTGTGACAAAGTGTAGTTTAAGGTGCCGTGTCAACACACGTCTATTCCTAACTGACTTAGGTTAAAGGCAAAAACTACTTAGTGCCGGTTGACGATCAAAGGATCAACACAAAACAAGACATCGTAAACTATGCAATTGAAGCTCGGCAGTTTCTCAAAGATTTAGCTAGGAAGAATCAGTCTCACGCGACAATCTTTATTTTGGACTGCTGTCGAGCTTACTGGCCAAAGGAAGAAATAGCCAATAAAAAAGGTAGTTTCTTAGTAGTTTTGATCATTGGTAGGCGAGTCGAGTGAGTCTAGTTTGACTCGTCAATCGAGAGATTTTCTTTGGGTGGAGTTTTTGCAGAACGTTGCAAACATGAAAAATCCCCGCGACTTGTGAACAATTATTTGCAAGAAGATTCGACTTTTTTAGTCAGTTTCCGCAAACCTTGGTAAACTTTCATAGGAAAAAATGGAGTTTGTGCAAAAAGAGGGGCGGGAGTTTTCTTGAAAAGTGAGTTGTTACGTAAAATTTTGCAGCTTGAAAATTCACTCAACGATGAGCTAAAAAAACAGCTTTTTCATCGTTGTGCCCAAAAAATATCAGAGAAATACGATTTCAGCACGAAATAGCTTTAACAACAACCTGTTTAGGCACAATCTTAGAAAAACAACAGTCATTTTCCAGGTCTTTGCGTGAAAAAAAGCGTGTTTGCGAAAAGTTCTAATTATTTTCTTTGTTCCCAAAATTTTTTGCGTCAACTTGCAACAAATAATATTGATTTTGGAAAATTTAGAAATTCTCCTCCTCCCCCCCAAAAAGTAGAAACTCGGGAGATTTTTCAACTTTGCAAATTTTTCAAAAACAATTCCACCGAAGTGTTTTTCCTGGACACTCGACAAAACTCTGACACACCAGCCATTATATTCGTCTGCCTTTCTTGTAGGCTAAACTAAGTTTTCGATATGTCTTTCTAGCCGCTAACCTTCCCGGCAAAGGTCTCAAATACATGGAAGCAGCCAGTGGCACATACATTCAATTTGCTTGCGCCGCGAATCGAACTGCTAGCGATCTCAATTGGAGAGATGGTAATGGGTTGTTCACCAAACACCTGTTGAGACACATTGTGAATCCAGATAAAGATGTAATTCATATTTTCATGGCTGTTTGCAAGCGATGTGTACGAGGAGAGTAAGAAAAGAGGACTCGAGCTACAGCGACCAATGGGAATGAACGGGTTGATGGGCGAGCCTGTGTTTCTGGTAGACAAGAAGTTAGAAGTTGGAGGTCGGCCTAAAAGCGGGTTAGTGGGCAACGAAAACGGGTCTTCCGATGCAAAGAGTGGGGAAACTGGAACTCGCCCTCTAGTCTTTCGTGTACTAGAAGACAAACCGAGATTTTCGTTCGACATTAAACGTTCTACGTATCAAAATATGTCAGCCAATGAAAAGTTTGTCGTCTTTTGTGAACAAGGAGGAGATCTTTGTGTCCACGATGAAACTGGAAAGGGAGTAGTAAACGTCTGTGGCCGTCGTTTTTCTCCACATGAAATCTGTTGGTCCTCGTATTTGAAAAAGTTTCTTATTTTACTTCCTCGAAATGAACTGTATTCGTTGGATGTTGAAGCTCAGCAAATGAAACCTCTTCAAAATCTAAAGCTCATTAGCCGCGACAGTTGCACTTGTACGTGTTATGGAGAAAGATCTTTAGTAACAACTGGACGCAACGCAGCGAGCATCGAAGAATACAAACTGTCAGATGGGGAACTAAGACGAAGATTTCTTAAACCAGATTCATGTGATACCAACCAATCGATTTATCAAATGTGTTTTAATAGGGACGGAAATCGACTGGGAGTTATTGTGTGTCACGAGTGCTGTGCTAATCACGAGACATATTACTTTCAACTGAGGAATTCGAACAATATGCGTGTGCTAGCACAGATTAAGATGGAGTTTAGTACGGACAGGTGGCTTATTCCACTACCTAATCAGCAGTTCCTGCTTAGCTCAGATAACACTTTGATTGTAGTGAACGCGGACGGTAAATCCAAGGAAAAGTTTATTTTTGCACATTTGAAGACTATACCCTATGAAAAATCTCCATGCATCACTGCTTAGCCTTTTAGTACCTTGGTAATAAATGTGCATCAGTTGAGTTCTCGGCAGTGATAAATGGAAAGACGAAAATTTCGACAACAGGCGCCAACATCAATGAGTGTACAAAAGGATGAAATATATTTTATTTTTAACATACAAATTTTCTATTCTTTTCCTAACTTCTCTTTTATT